AACCATTTGAGTGAGGCGTCATCAATAATATCGTCTTTACTTAATAGTAATCAAAATGCAAGCACCTCTCGATCTACTGATTCAGTAAATAATACTGTAAATAGAGCTAGAGCTATGTTAAATAGTTCCATCTCTAGGGGAAACTTCACACGCTTGAACCGGCGAGAAAGGCTACGTGCAGCAGCTCCAGCAGCTACCAATCCGTCCAGCCAGGCGTCCAATGCTAGTAAAATGAGAAAGGAGAGCGAAGAGAAGATTTTTGAGTTTGTCCTCGTGGATACAACAAAGTACGACGAAGATGACTGGACGATTTCCAACGACATCATAGCTTTAAGAGGACTGATCGAAATATCAACCTCCAGTAAARAAGCAGATATTCGCCAAGAAATTGGCAATGCTGTGCGTCTGAAATTCCCGGCAGTTAATGATTCAGATTTCGAGTTTTTGAGAGCTACTAGAAGAAAGCTATCAAAGCCCGTGAACTGCAAGGGATTCGACTTCAAGCAATTGAAGTYGATAGCAGGTCAGGGGGCTGTATACATCAAGGTGAAAGACGAGATGGCGTGTTTATTAGTGGATTTAGACATCGAAGAGAAATCCGAGGACGGAAAGCAGGCTGAGGACGAAAAGGAGGGCGAGGGCGAAAAGAAGGCTGAGGATGACAAGAACAAAGAGGAAGCTACTAAAGTGAATGATGATAAAGGCACTAAACAAATTATTACTCCAACTTTATTTATTTGGCGTTTTGTTTATGCGCCTATCAATGTCTTGCTCAAGCAGGGGGAGTGCAGGCATAACCGTTTATTTTACGTTTTATTTTCAATACCCCCCGCCCCCACCACCACCACCACTGAAGCAACATATTGTTAGGTTCATTGGGTGGACTGCTGTCATGTATGGTTCCTATATTCCCTTCTGGTCATTCCYTGCTACATCATTTTATAGTCTTGTTTTTTTCTCCCTTATTGATTTTATATTYGGTATYTTAAATTGCAATGAGTTTTTGAATGCGGTAAAAATGGATTAAAATATATTAATGAAATTAACTAATTCAAATCTGTCAAACAACTTACTGACTAATGGCTGTCGAGCTGATCTGCTTATGACTGACTGATCACTGACTGACTTCCTTGCTGTATGAATGACTGTATGACTGACTGGCTGTCTGTCTGGCTTGCGAGCTGACAGACAGATTGACTGACTTACTGATGTTTTTACAACTAGATATTGTTCCTCTTTGATCTGGAAGTGTTTTTCAAATATTTCAAGTATTAGTTACAAAAGTACATGTGTGCGTAAAAAATTATAAAACACGAAGTTGGAAAATAGGCAAATTAATGGTTATGCCATTTTAGATTTGATGTCATCACCATTTGAGGTTAAAGACASARATGAAGAAACTGAAGCTACCATGGATGGACCTGAAGAAATATATAACCTAGTCAAGCTGACTGCAGAGTATTGYCAACAAAATGAGATAGGCAACCCTGTGGAAATCTTAAGATATTACCAAAAAGTCATGGTTGTGGGTAGACCCTTAAATGTGGAAGACCCAAGTCAAGCAAGTGAAGGAGCCACAAACTTCATCATGGTAGACCRCCATAATTTAATTCAGTCTGCTTTTGATGAGATAAAAGAGCTGACCAACTTGAGACAGACGTTGGAAGTCCAGTTTTATGGGGAAGTAAGTATTGAGTTGAGTTGACACTTTGAGCCAGTGGGGATGTCATACCTGCAGTTGTTTTCTATAGTGATGTGCATGCTTGCACCAGCAATACCTGATAATTCATGTTATTACATTRTTATAGACATCAGATAGAGATAAAGTTTGCCAAAATTGAAAAAAAAACAACTAAAGTAGTACATGTATTGAATTCTAGGAAGCTGAAGACTATGGAGGACCCAGAAGAGAATTTTTCAGATTGATTATCAGGGAGATTTTCACAAAGTACTTTGAACATGGATTAAAACCCCATATGGCAGAGGACTACCTACTAGTTGGAATAGTTTTTGGTAATACTGTTTAGGATAACTTAACGTTCTCATATATACTGTTATTAGTACAATCTGTTGAAGGGTCAGTTTTTAATCTAAAAAAGTAGGGGAAGCCACTGCTAACTGAAAATTTTTTAACGTCAATAATTATTTCTATTTTATGTGAAATGAATGCAAGCCTGTGTTCATTTTGTGTGGCCTACTAAACAACAGGTTATAGATACAATTTTAATTCCCAGCCAACWCATGTTGTTGTTTCACCATGTTTTATAACTTTAAAGAAAATAGTTGTTGATAACTTGCTACAGAAACTCAGCCAAAACTTTCTGTCAACAGGCTTAAGTGTTGTTCAAGGTGGCAAGATACCAAATTTTTCTGAAGATATAATAAATTATGTCTTCAGCCCTAGTGTTAAAGATGCTTGCTTGGAACAGTTACAAATGGGGTTTAAGAAAGTTGGAATATACCAGGTAAGATGCCATTGTGAATTGAAGAGGCAGTAATTAGAGTTTAAATAATTTATGACCTCACTTATGTAATAGGTTGAGTTGTAATATTTCAATGACACTGCTCAGTAATATCCTTGCAAAACATCCCATTTTTTCTCAGCTTGCAATGAAGATGCGTTTATTTCGACATCTATTCAAAGCTCAACCATCTCGACCTTTGACTGTCAAGGAAATCAATCATTTGTTCAAACCAGAGTTCAGTGATGAAGGGTCCAATGCTAGAAAAAATGAAAGTACTGTTTATGGAGCTTTCCAAAAATATATCAGGGAAGTTGCAAGTAAGTCCTGTTCCATCTCAGGAGGTTCACGGCCTCTAATATGTTTTGCTTTCATCTTGCCAAATTAAGAAGAAAAACATGAAAATTKGGTATTTTCATGTCCATAATTGTCCTTAACTGTATGTGAATAGGTATTACATGTAACTAAATGGAAATATAGATTATATTTACTCTTTATTTTTATATAGGCACTGAGTGACATCTTTGGTGCCGCATCATTAATTAACACTTTCTTGTCTTTAAGTATGAAATTTGAGGTTAATAAATTCCAAAAATGACAAAATCTTATGACTCTTGGGCATTATCTAAATACATGAGGGCAAATACTTCATTAGTTTTAAAGACATTTGCTTTGAAGTTGCCAAATTTTATAGAATAATGTTCATTGGTTGGCAAGATGTTGGCAACATACATTTTCTATAAAATCTCAAACATTCGCTGTTCTGCACTGAACTCTTGAATGTAATCCTTGATGATTGTCATTATTATGATTGCTTGCAGGTGGTCGAAGAGCTGGTATAAATTTGGGAAACATCTTACAGTTTGCAACAGGAACTGATGAGGAACCCATACTTGGCTTTTGCATACCACCCTCCATGTCTTTCTATGAAGTGAGTGAGTCATATCTCCCTACTGCCAACACATGTGTTAATTCATTGAAGCTTCCAAGACCATCACATTCAAAGCCATTGCCAAATACAGACGTTCTGTTTGAATTGTATGATTTGGCATTTACAAATGCTTATTTTGGTAGCAAGTAAAAGATAAAACTTTCTATAAATGCACAGAGAAATGTTTTTAATCTTGGCTAAGTATTTGTTACCTGCTAGCCTTTTCTTGGATTTTTTTCTGGAAATCGAATCATTATAAGACAAAAATGATCTGGATGAAATATAAATCTTTAAGAGTTATAATTTTTTACAAGGAAAAAATCATTTAATCATATTGCTGCATAGACAGCTAAGTAACCCAGTTTCCTATTTAGATCGGTTGCCTTGTTTTTGTTGCACTTGTTTATTTCTACTTTTGTAGCTTTTGATTATCAGGCTTAATTGTCACTTGTCAACTAAAATGTGTTATTTGACAGTAAAAAGCAAGTTTCTACCAGGTGATCAACCGAAAACAGGGGGTTTTAGTTATTATAGCTATTGAATTTGTTCAGAAATAAAATTTTCCACAAATTTAAGAGCTTCAAGGTAAATATCAATCCCCATTTCAGTTGATGATCCTAAGGGATTTATGTTTTGTTGGAGCTTAACAGTTATGTCATCTGCATGATCTAAATTGATAGGAGGCACCTGAACATTGTTTTCACTTTCATCAAAGGGAGAAGGGGCATCAGGGTCTTGGCCATAGTGCTGAAAGTCCACTGGATCTTCATCTAGTTTACCTTTTGTTAAAGGATTATCCGCATGCATTATGCCATTTAACCACAACTGGTAAGGTGACCAATTCCTTGCTGTCCGAATCCCATGATTATTGAAAGCCTCCATATACTCGAGTAATGCTTGGTTGATTCGTTGTAAAAATGCAAAATGCAGTGTAAACATGTGAACTGGATTCATCACATTAAGAATGCCAGAGTCCTCCATTGCATAAAAAACATAGTAAAAGTGATGTAAGACACAGCGAAATACATCTCTCCAAAGACGCTCGATCCTTTGGTTATGAGTGGAGGGTCCGGCTATGAAGCTGCCCCTGTTCTCGCCCCGAGCTTCAACCATGGCATCACAAACCAGAACATTTTCTACACCTTTATCAACTCGTATTCTGGAAGGCCATAATCCTCCACTACTTTCAATAGCATCTAGAAATAGCGATAAAACAGTCTGGGATAAGTTATTGGGGTTACACTGAAGAAACATCACTCTACGTGAAAATCCATCAATGCACCCATGAACCACAAACCCCCACCGTATTAGTGAGTGATGACCATCTAGGTGCCACAGGGAGTTAGGCCAAGACACATAATATCTTCTCCGAGAGACTACCACTCCCCATCTTATAGCAGAATTCTTAGGATCAAGCCTCGCAATGCTTTCTCGTACCCTGCTTCTCTGGACCCTCAAGCCAAGGGAGCGTAAGTGACCAATTATATAAGATTGACCAGTCGTTCCTCCATAACGGGTCATATAGCTAGAAACTTTAGAATCCAGTTCTTCGTCTGTCAGTGGGCTAAAGTTACTAGCAGAATTAACTCCGCACTCTCGCATTCTTCTATACAAAGTCCACCTTGATACTCCCATCATGTCTGCTATCAGCTTCCAAGTAAACCCCAAGCCTCGAAGATTTTCAATCATTTCGCTTGAAATTTGGATTGCTGGCTTTCCTGGTTCTCCTGTATGAGTTACTGTACACTGTCTTTGAACAGGTGTTGTTGGTCTTCTGGAAATTTCGAAAATCTTGTTTTGTATGTCTCCCAAAACATCCGAAAAAGAACGTGAAAGGGATACCCAATCTTGTTGATCGTCAATGTCGCTTTCGCTAAGCTCTCTCAAAAAACCCACAGTTCTATCCAAAATGACTGCATGCATTTCTAGGCTATTTATGTCGACTGACTGATTGCATAGCAAGCCTTCAGCTTCATCGAGAACTGAGAAAAGATAATCTGGTAATGTTGATGCCATTTTGCAACTCAAGCGTTCGCATGCAAGGGCACTATAGTGACCGTCATAATATTGCCAGGCGTTTTCGCTTGCTGTGTGGAGGAGAGAGATTGAGTATAACTCCATCCCAGTCCCCCAGCTACCTACCTATACCGTTTTCTCGGCCCCAGGTCATTGAATTGGAAAAGTTTTTATTGAATTGAAAAAGTTTTTATTGAATTGAAAAAGTTTTCATTGAATTGAAAAAGTTTTTATTGAATTGGAATACTTTTTATTGAATTGAATAAGTCTTTGTTGCATTGAATAGGTTTTGGCATTGAATTGAATGCCAGTAGTTCATTGAATTGAATAGATATTCATTGAATTGAATGAATATTATTTTTTTGAATATTGCTACATTTGGCTTGCCATACTCTTCCGGACCGACAATTCCAACGGATGCTTGCCTGCATAGTTATTAGAGGGGAATGGTTAAGAAACCTATTGTTATCAGGTCTTTGTTCGTTTTTGATTTTGAACCAGTCTTGACCGTGYACAATGTTTGATTTATGCTCATCCGAAATTGCAAAATAAGTAAACAAACTTTGTCTATGGGATTGTTGTAAGGAATAKTCAAATATCTCTTTATAAATCTTTATTATTTTGAACTAGAGTCAAAAGAAAGATTTTGGTCTCTTCACTCAGCCATTGCCAACAATGGTAAAACAATGGTAAATCAAAGAATTGTGCAATGTTACGCTTGGAAAAAGTGAACAAATATCTATATATAACAAAAGGGTTTCCTAACCATACACCTCAATATTAACTATGTTGCCTATGATGAGTGAAGTTCATCTGAATATTTTTCCGGAAGCCGATATGACGTATGTACTTTATCTTCAACCAGTGAGAAGCTCCTCCCAGGGAGTCACGGGTATTTTCTAAAGATGGCGGTTGTCTTGGTAAAACATCAAATTTCTTTTCTAAACAAAAATTCCCGGTAAAAACATTTGCAAAGACATCGAAAATTTGTCCATAGCAGAAAGTAAAGTAAGTGCTATATTAGGGGCCACTTTAAGCATATAGTGACGATKGAAATACTCATGAATTCATCGCTTCATTCTACACAATATTAAAGAGCACAATAAACTCAGRACTATTAAAGCTTTAAGCTTAATTGGTTTCTTTCTTAGTATTTAAAAGTATTGGAATAAAGGTCTACATATTTTATGGAATATTTGCTGGCGAATAGGATTTTTATGCTCCCCGCCAACTGTTTTGTAATTATTTGATTAATAAGCCATTAAAGATAGGCTAAAATTATAGTTACGTAAGAACAGAAGTCACGCGGCAGATGGGCAGCGGTACTCCTTTTGATAGCTGTTGTCATGGGCAACTATCTATCCACGTGATACAACTTCGTGGGATCAGTTGCTTCACGTCCTTGAACAGCTAAGACNTTTAAATTCATGCCTGTCACTATTTTGAAATGTGCCCTGCATGGATGTATATCCCTAATGATGGTTATTTCCTTCTTTTAGTTGAGTACAGAGTGTGGAATATAAGAAGCGTTGCTTCCAAGAATTATAAAATGGTCCATGTTAATTCAAAGATGACACCCAGAGAATTCATAAATAAGGTAGCCAGTCTTTTCAGTCTAAAGCAAAGCATGATCTGTGTAACTTATGAGTTCCAACCGGTAAAAGGAGAAGACAGCATAACCATCGAGATAGAGGAAAATGATGACAGCAGTTTATTATATGCTATCAAGGTATTGGGAAATTATTCGAAGTTGTCAGTTGAAGTTAATATTCAAAAAGGTCTTGGTGTCCCAGAAATTGCTCTAAATGATGGAAAGAGGAAGAGCAGAACCAAAGAAGTCATTTCAGAGCAGCTGAAAAGAGAGATGGGCCTGCATGATGACCAAGGACAGAGAAAAAGAAAGTTCATGGATGCAACCTGGACTGAAAAATGCAATGAATTAATGGAGGAAGATTCAAGATTTCTTCTAGAGTTTGACAAGTTGAAATCTGGAATGAAGTTGGTTTTAGGTAATAGTGATTATCTGGTAAACCCATTTCAGGTTATTTGCCCCTGTTGTGGTGAACTTCGAGTGCTGAGTTGCATGAATCAAATGAGAACATTTTGCCAGCATTTAAAGGACAAACACTACGAAACATCAAAAGGAGTGGACCTTGTGACAAGGTTAGGAGCGTGGATTAAGAACAATTTCATAACAGAAACTGAACTTTCACTTCAAACTCCTCTTCCATTTGGACTCATTTCTCCAACACCAATTCTGAGTACACCACGGGTCAGGAAAGCAGTCCTGGCCCGTGATATTTCTTAGGGGCATTCACAAGAGGAAATTTCAGAAAATGCACATAACTATTTGATAAGTTCAAGAACTTTTTAAAAATATCCCATTCTAAATTAGAAATTGAAAAATACTATTTTACAGATATATAAAACAGCAGACCTTCATAGAACCATGCCTTGTGTCTGTGTACAATTGTGTGACTTGCTATAATTTTTTTATACACCTCATTTTGAAAACCTGTGAAACAGAGTATTGATGTAGTCAACACAAATTCCATCGTAAATGTTTTCATGGCTACCTGAAGAACTAAAAATCAGTCTGATAATCAACACAAAAGTTATTATCATTTTTTTCCCTTGTCATTACGATTATATTTTTTCCACAAGTTTTTTTGTATATTTTTAAAAGAGTTATTTCAAATTACTTTGGGCACCTAATGTCATAAATCTGGAATGCTGTCCATTTATGACTTGAATTTATGTTTTTTAATAGCATTTGTTCTAATTTAGAATTGGATGTGAATGAACAAAAAAGGGAGAAGGGGGGAACCCAGAATAATTTATGTGCCAGTACATAATAACCTTAAATCCAAATTGCTTTTGATACAAGCAATTTATTTTCTGAATGTGAATGCCCCTTTGAAATCAAAGAAAGGAGTCAAAGAAGATTATTTAACCCATTGGCTAAATGCCTTCATCAAGTCTGGCTTTTTGACAAAAGAACATCTCTTGTATCAAGAAATTGATGCTTTTCTTGTAGAGCAGCTAAGTCAACCTGATCCTGTTAATTCCTGGGAACAATGGCCAACACTATATAGCTACTGTGAGTCATTATTTGAAAATGCTTCTAGAAAAGGATACAGGTTTTATCTTGGAAGTAAACGTTTTGGTTTGAAAGGGGAAAGACAAGTAATAGCACCCGCCAAGTCATACTGCAATCCTGGGCCTTCACTGTCTTACACTATGATGGAATGCCTCTTAATATTGGAACATTTCCAAGACAAGAAAATGGAGAGACATTCTTTGATGGTATAATCCCTCCACTAAGCCTACAGAAGATGAAGGAATTATATCAGGGAGGAAATAAAAGCGTACATAAGTACATCTCGGAAAACTGTACCTGGGTCAGCGAAGTTAAAGAATTTGATTTGTGTGATGCTTCTGGAACAATACATGTTAATGTTCACACAAATTTTGGTTATGCTGGTGTTGATGGAGAAAGTGTTAAAGGGGAAATAAGGGATGTTCTTAAAAATCTAAGCTCTTGCAGCAACTGCATTTTAACAGGAAATGCAGACACATGTACATATAATTCTTTGAAAGAACCTTGCACAAGGTGTAAAACAACTACAGGTAATACTGACAACGAACCTTGCTGTGTAAGTGCTCTATGTATTCATGTGTCCTCTGATCAAGCTTCTGCACAGCGTAAAGCTCATATGGAGATGAACGAGACTGCTGAAAGAGACATGAACAGTCCAAACTACAGACACTTTGGATTTGGCCTGCTTCATTTCTGCGAGAACTGTATTTCATCCCTAAGGCATTACAGATTGACAGACATGTCTGAAACATTTTATGTTGGACTTTTGTCTTCAGTCTGGGCCTCAAACACTTCTGAGTCAGCCCAAATGAAGAAAGCTACCCCTGCCACTGTATTCTCTTATAGAGATGCCCACAGTGATGAGATTTGTTTCCAAACAGTTTCAAGGGAATTAGAGATTGCACTATTGGAAACAAAAGCTGTTGTGGCAACCCTCATACCAGAGCAGTACAAGCCCACCGCTGTTGAAGCTAAAACCCACAGCATTCTGGGAAGGCCATTATATATTGCCAGTAATGCAAATGGCGATATTCTCTGGACAGGTATGTACAGCAAAATAATAATCTCTACAAAACATTTTCACTATTACAAATTATTATTGTTATTATGTAATTTCATAAATTTATAACAAGCTAAATATTGATCCCAGCTGTACAAGTTCTCAATATTAATAAGCGACCTATAGAAAGAAGGAGAGAAAGAGGCAGTGTCCAGGGAAACTTTTCTGCAAAACTGTTATAAATTTTATGATTCTTTGTAAAATAGTTTGGTTTCAAAGACAGAAGATGCTTGGGCTATTGAAAATGTTGATTTATTTTAATAGCTTGTAAATGCATACAAATTTATTTTGTACCAATTATTTTTTCAGATGCCGAGTTTGAATACGTTGGGATGGGTAATAGGCACATACCAACAAAGTTTATTGCCCTAGGGCAATGGGATAGCCCAGGTAAGATTGTTCAAAGGTTAAGTAAATGTTTGAAATAAGAAATAACTGATCACTATTTAACAGTCGCTTGCAAGTTCCAAAACGCTCATTACTGAATCTATGCACAGTTTACCAATTGACCCCTGAATCCTGACCCCTATGCCTTTAATACCTGTATGCTTACATATATTAGTATGGTAACATAAATGCTTCAAACAATGTTATCGGGTTTACCACTCAAATTTAATAACTCTGGAACAAAATATTAACTTATTAACATCTACTGTAGTTTGCTATTTATTAAAAATGAAGACAATATTTTCTTTCTGGATCAAAGTAGAAAGTCTTGGTGTTATTTAGAGAATCAAGTAAATAAATTTGCTTACTCTATCTGCCATAGGTCCAGCACAGAAAACAACTGTGACTGCATCAAATGCCACATTCAGTCACCCTGCTGGCATCGATGTCATGATAATCAAAGCTGGAAAATGTGAAGTTGCATTTGTAAGTGACAAAGGTAACTCAACCATCCGGTTCATAAGGGGCGTGGAGACTTTCAATGGTAACAAGTTTGTTGGAACACTGAAATTACAGCAAGTTCCCAGAAACTGGAAGCCTGAAGGGTTAGCTGTTGTTGATACCAAAAGTCTTGCAGTTACAGCTAGGAAAAGTGTTTACATTATTGCTTTGGATGATTCTCTTACTAGTGGCCAAGTAATTTCATTGATCACAAATTTGCAGTCTCCACATGGACTTTGTGTTATGCAGAATAATACATTGTTAGTAGCTGATGAACACTGTGTCAAACAAATTGACATGGAAAAGAAGTCAGTCAACATTGCAGCACAAGGATTTAAAAAGGCTTTTGACGTGGCAGTCTCTGACAATGGTACCATGGGAGTGACAGATGTACATGCACACCAGATAACACTGTTCAAGAAAACAGACAGTGGTTTTGACAAAGATAAAGATATAGGAACTGGCACTGCTGGATGTCTTGATGGTCCTGCTACAAAGGCTCAACTATCTGAACCCACTGGTCTGTGCTTTGACTGTAACACTGCTATATTCTGTTGCTTTGGAGGTAAGCAAAACGGCTACATTAAGCTGCACACTACTGTTGGTTTTGCTTGTCAGTTTATGAACAAGATAAGGCAAATATATGATGCAATTGGATTTTTGCCCAAGAAGGTTCAAAAGAGCACAGAGCAACATTATATAGAACCATACAGAGAAGGGGTGGATAAACTTGTGGATTTTCTGTGTTACATGGAGCAACTCATATCTGCAAGAAAAGAGTTTCTAAGCATATCACCTGCAGGACCAGAGGAAACAGTCTACCATCTAACAGTCAAAGGATTTTCTGAAACTGTATCTTCCCTAGAAGTTCATATCCAGGCACTAGAGGTGATGGGTATGACAAATACAGTGGACTCTCTCAACTTGTCTGCATTTGTAAATGAGTCAAGGAAAGAGCATGGTTTTGCTAAACATAAGCAATCAGGACACATGGCACAGAATGGCCGGTCACATACGGGACTTTTTCATTGTCAAAGCGCCAAATTCAAACTGCTGTTCATCCAGGTGTAGCGCACTTAATGAGGCAATTACAAAGCAAATCTACTAAAATCCGCCAACCTCAACAAAAAATCTAAAATTATGATACCGGCATCCGACCAAGCAGCAATACTGTAGCAGCAAGGGGCGCCATGAAATAGAGCAAATAAAAAAGACATGCCAGTGCCCACATGCTTACCATACTAATAATTATACTGCTTATCAGCCTAACCACAAATCTAATCTATCATCAACCGAAACAGTTCAACAGTATAGGAAGTGGAGTAAGGAGTTGTGCAATAACACATGTGAAGATGATAAGAACAAAGATGATTTAAAAGTTGCTAGAATGCTCAACATCCTTACAAAGGCAAGGCCATCCCAAAATGTACGAGACATGTACCGCTACAGATGTGGTTATGGTCCTTGTGTAGTTTTTCAGAAAGATGCCTTATTTCAAGATGAAAGCTACGAAAGCCACTATCCTGCCTTCCAACAGCTAATGGGAGATCTTGAAGTACAGAGGAATGGTAATTTTGAATTACAGCAAGAACGAATCCAATCTAGCGAGTACCTACTTCTCCCTGGTGACATTGCTGCAATCAACCCTGGTAGTAACAACGGTATTCCTTCAGCAGATAAATGGTGGTTGCTACAGGTCAACAAAGCTCACCCTGCTGATAGAACTGCAAGTGGATATCATGTTTTTGGATTTTGGCTGAATGAAGAACCAGCAACGAATGATAACTCAGTAGAAGGGAGAAACTTCCACCTGCTAACTCCATCAGTGAAAGTTTACTATGGCAGCATCATTAAAGATATAGAAAACAAGCTACCAGTGGTGGTGCCAGTTGAGCAACTAAAT